GTGGCCATCTATGTATGCCCCTTCGTCGCCCCTGCTCGTTTTTCGCCTGCCGCTGCGGGTGGCCCCATGTGCATGCCCTTCGTGGGCCCGCTGTCGCCCTTCGTGGCCCCCTCGCTGCCCTTCGTGGCCCCGTTGCTGCCTTCAGTGGCCCCGTCCTTGCCCTCCGCGGCCCAGTATACGTATGCCGTTCGTGGGCCCCGCTCGTTCGCGCCCGTTGTGGCCCCATGTGCATGCCCTTCGTGGCCCCGCTGTCGCCGTTTGTGGCCCCCTCACTGTCCTACGTGGCCCAGGTGCTACCCTCAGTAGCCCCATCGTCGCCTTCTGTGGCCCCGCAGTATCTGCCGCCTCTAAGACGGCCCTAGAGCACCCCAAGAGGGCCCCAAGTCGGCCCAGAGAGGCACCCCAAACGGCTTCCGACAGCGTCAGGCGGGCCAGGAGCCCACCAAGGTGGCCGAAGTTGGCTCGAAGCTGGCCCAAGACGGCCCCAGGTGCCTCCAAGAGGGCCCCCAGGAAGGCCAGAAAAGGCCAAAAGCATTGATTCTACTTAAAGTTTTTGAAGGATTTTGAAAGTTGCTTCTTTCCGGCCATCCGAAGGCCCGATACTGCCCAAAAGCCCCCAAGGATCGCCCAAAGATCGCCCAAGAGGCCTCCAAGATGGCCCCAGAACGACCCAAGAGGCCTCCAAGACGGCCCCAAGAGGCCCCCAAGACGGCCCAGGAGGCCTTTACGACGCCCAAGATGGCCTCCAAGACGGCCCTGGAGCATTCCAAGAGGGCCCCAAGTCGGCCCAGAGGGGCCCCCCAAACGGCTTCCGACGGCGTCAGACGGACCAGGAGCCCACCAAGACGGCCGAAGATGGCCTTTAGATGGCCCAAGACGGCCCACGAGGCCTCCAAGAGGGCCTCCAGAAGGCCCGAAAAGTCCAAAATCCGTGGCCCTAAGATGGCCCAGGACGGCCTACAAGGCTTCCAAGAGGGCCTCCAGAAGGGCCGAAAAGGCCAAAATCATTTATTTCCCATGAGTGTTTGAAGGATTGTGGCATTTGCTTTTTGTTCTGCCTTCCGACGGCCCGAGACGGCCCAAGTGCCCCCAAAGATCGCCCAAGAGGCCCACGACGGCCCCAAGAGGCCTCCAAAACGCTCAAGATGGCCTCCAAGACGGCCCAAGAGCCCTCCAAGACGTCCTCCAAGAAGGCCCGAAAGGGTCCAAATGGCCTCCAGGCGGCCAAGATGACTTTCAAGATGCCCACGTGTTCCCCGAAGGCTTTACCGATTCGGGAAACACATGGTCCGATAGCTTGGCAGGTCTGGCCTCAACGTTCGGCCACATAGGCGCTTCCAAAAAGGCAGGGGGCGGCGGATTTTGGCCTCGTCGGGCCTTCCTGGAGTACCTCCTGGAGGCCTCTTGGGCCGTCTTGGAGGCCTCTTGCGGGCCTTTTGGGCCGTCTTAGACCGTATTGAGGCCATCTTGGGCCGTCTTGGAGGCGCATCTTGGGGCCATCTTAGCCGTCTTGGAGGCCATCTTGGGGCGTCTTGGAGACGTCTTGGAGACCATCCTGGGCCATCTTGGCCGTCTTTCTTCAGAACGCAAGCGCGATACGTTAAAGCTGGGGAGGGCAGGCCCAGATAATCAGACATCATGCCGCTTGTGCATGGTTGGAATGTCGCGCCCTGATGGAAAATGCTAGAACAAATTGGAATGCCGCGCGCTGATGGAAAGTGCGAGACGCGTAGAACAGCAGCCTGCAGCACTCAAGAACTCAGAACAGCAGCCTGCAGCAATCGTGAAATGGCCCTTGCGCACTCAGAACAGCAGCCTGCAGACGGTAGCCAGCAGTAGCGCCTGCGGGAATGCTGCGTAGGCGCCAGAACTTTCCAGCGCTGGGCTCTGATCCACGATCGTCGGGGCCGTTGCCGAGTTCGGCACCGCCGCCACTGCCAAGAAGGTAGAAGCAGACCCAGTGCCCTGAAGCTGCGTGTTGAAGTCTGCCACGAAGTTTTCCGCAGTGGTGCTCTCCAGGGTGTCCACTATGCTGTCGAAGGCGCTCTGGCTGATGACGCCTCCCCCCTCAGAGGAGCCCACCTGTGCGGTGATGGTGTAGGAGACCAAGATCTCGGCGGCCTCGGCAGTCATCCTCCGGCCGCCTCTGGCCGCCAGCCTCTGGTCGCTGTGCACCGAGAGCGTCACCGCCACCGTCGACTCTGGCATGCCCACCCTCGTGGCGATCGAGGTCACGAACGAGTCCACGACGTCGGAGTTGCTTATGAAGTCCTCGGCCTCGGAGGCTGCCACGGAGGCCCTGAAGCTCCCCGAGACGACCAGCGTGGCCAGCGTCGCTGCCAGTGGCGCCTGCGTGGGAGACACAGTGGGCGCTACCGATGGCGCCGGCGTGGAAGACACAGTGAGCCCATCGGTCATGTCTGCCGAGGCGTTAATGGACAAGATGTACCGCCACACGCCTCCATCCAGTTCCATCGCATACGACTTGACAAAAAAACTGGACTCTCCAGCGCTGTCATCCGTGTGCCAGGTGAGATTGGTGGTCTCGATGAAGTCGCTGGTCTGGATGTAGTTGATCTCCCACATGTCGCTGGAGTCGGAAGTCGGTATGCTGGCGTTGACGTACTCGTACATGAACCCCGCGCCCACCATATCCCCGATTTCCTCATTGGCCCACGAGGTCACTGAGACCCATTCTTCGTGCAAGTGCGCCTCCACTGAAACGTACGTGTCGCCGTTTTGGCTCAAGCTTCCAGTCACATCCCACGTGTCTGCGCCGTCGTAACCAAGACTGACTGAGATAGATACGTTCTCCGTACCCATCAGGTCCCAATCGTCTTCCTCCCCGTTCGCCTCGCTCCACCAGCCGTCCTCGTGCGTAGTCGTCTGCCCCTGCTGGGTCGTCGTTACTTCCATCTCGTAGTCGTCCTCGTCGTCCATCATGCTCTCCATCGTCAGCGTCAAGGCCATCTCGGTCATCGTGTCAAGGCGCCCGTCCGGCTTCGTGAGGGCCAGCGCAACGGTCATGACATCCCCGAGGTTCCCATGGGAAGTGATGCTGTCAGAACTGCTCGTTCCCACGATAGACCAATTCATCAACTGGTTGCCGTCGTTGTCCTCCATCGCCATCCCGGACGTGAAAACGCCCCCGGAGCTGCTGCCCGTCACCGACACGGTCATCATCACCCCCGCGTCGGTGTCGCTCGGGTCCCAGACCTGCGCCTCCGCAGAGGCGTCCCAGTCCGTGAGCAGGCGGAGCCCGCCGGCCGCAGTGAAGTCCACGCCCGCGTCGAGCTGGAAGAAGGGCGTCGACAGATCGGAGGTGAGGACCTGGAGCTGGAAGGTCGCCCGGTCCCCGGCCGCGTCGACCGCCTCGAGCCGGACGCCGCCGAGGGCCTCGGGAGCCTGGCCGCTCTCCAGGCGCACCGCGGCGCTCCCGCGGAGCAGCGCCGAGCCAGAGGGGTCGCCCTCGGTCAGCGAGGCGTCGACGGCGAGGAGCTGGCCATCCGGGTCCCAGACGTCCACGTCCCAGGTGGTCGCGGTGCCCGACGTCTCCGACACGACGTCCCACTTGACCAGCCTCTCGCCTTCGAGCCGGATCTCCCCCGCGGCCGAGTCGCCCGTGGGGAGCTCGGCGAAGGAGACGTCAACCTCGAGGAAGGTGCTGGATCCGCTGTCGACAGTCAGGTCCACGGATTGAGAGGAAGTTGATACGTCGGCGCTCAGATCCCATCCAATGATCTTTTCGCTGTTTTCGTCCTTGATGGTGCCACTGGATGACATGGCGAACTGGTCGATTGCGATGGCCGAGTTGCCATTGCCTAGCTGAATGTATGCTGCTATCATATCCTGCACGCTCTGCACAGTGACTGACGCCCCTGCGGAATAGAGCGTGTCGCGTGCAGTCATGCCGAGAACCGCGCGGTAGTCTTCCTGATCATCTGATGTCGCCGACGAAAAGACCAAATCCATGTGCTGGTTGTGCAGATCCACATCCACGGTGCACGAACCCTGCAGGCACGGAATCTCCGCTGCGTCTTCGAGCAGTCCGCTGGCCAATGAAACGGACATGGTAACGTTGAGGCTGGAGTCCATGGGGCTGAACATATTGATGTCCACATCTTGCACCTGCCCACTGGTAGGTTCATTGGTGAGCGACACGCCAACTGTACCCATCTCTGTGTCACTGCTGTCGTGGATGGTGGTGTGGACCGTGTAATTCGTACTCTTCGTCACCAGAGTCAAAGGGTCCAGCTTGAGAACCTGCTGATAGCTGCCATCTTCGAACACTTCAACCGACGCGACGGCAGTCAAGCCAGTGTCGTCGTGGGTGCCGTCGACGTCGACCCGCCCTGCGGGGTCATTGGCAACCGAGAGAGAGGCGTCAATCGTAAAGCCGCCCTGTGTGCGATAGGAATCCGAAAAGGTTCCGCTCAACACGATCTGCTCACCTTCAACGCTTACCGTGACCTCCAAGGTGCCGTCCTCCGTGTCAGCGCCAGTGTATGTTGCCCCGGCAGACGCGTCGAGCAAGGTGCTGGAGGAATCACTGGGGTCCTTCACGACCGCCGAGACGCTCATGGACGTACTGCTGTTTGTACCCGTGATGGTAATGAACTCTGTGCCATCCTCGGGGTTATAGACGCGAGCCGAGAGGGATTCGCCAGCGCTTGCACTCGAGGAGGCAGACACGCTGGCGATGGTATCGCCACTGTCTGGGGCCTTGATTAGCACGGAGAGCGTCGTCTCGTCGGTTGAAGAAAACTCGACCTTGGCAACTTCCACGTCTGAAAAAAAGACGGCTAAGTCCAGGCTTGCCTCCCCTGCCTCGGCAGAATCCGCGGCAAACAGGTGCACTTCAAACTGGGTCGCCTCGTCCATCCCGTACTGCAAGTCGAAACCGATGGCGTTGTCGGTCATGGTGGCATTGAGTTCAATGTCGATCTCGGACCCATCTGCGTATACCATCTCCGAGAACGTCACGGTGGTGCTCTCGCCAGTCAGGCGACGGCCGTCCCGCGGCGGTTGCTGCACCAGGCGCTCGCCGGCGGAGCCCCCCAGCGACCTCGCCAGCCGGCGGCCCAGCAGCCGCCTCGCCCGCGCGCCAGGTCGTGCACGGCCGACGCCCTGCGGCTGCGCCAACCCACCGCGTGGGAGGCGCCCAGGCACTGCGCCGCCAGCGACGACGGCGCCACCGCGGCCATCCGCACCGAGCGGTGGACGCCGCCGCGCTCCCCGCGCGAGTCGCCGACGAGCAGCTTGCCGAGGGCGGCCGCGAAGGCGGCGGGGCGCACGTGGCCAGTGACGAGGGCTGGCGCGGAGACCAGGTAGCCGCCCTCGCCGTCGCTCTCGATGACCAGGCTGGCGTTGACCGCCTGTGTCAGTCGCACGGAGCGGTCCCCGCTCTCCTCGTAGGCCACGGCGGCGTCGAGGCTGATGCTCGCCCTCCCGAGCAGGCCGTCCAGGGCCTCGGGGAGACTCCCCGCGGGCACCCGCCAGCCCACGAGCGCCGGCTGCTCCAGCGTCACGTTGGGGCTCTCCAGCGACCAGGGGCCCTTCCGCGCCACGCTCCCGCTGCGCTGCACCCACATCGTGGGCGCCTCCGCAGCCGCGAGGTCCACGGGCACCCGCGCCGTCCACGGCACGCGCAGGCCGAGGCCGAAGATGTCCACGCTGGACGTGACCTCGCACCCGCCGGGCGCAGACGCCGCGGCGCCCGCGGGCGACACCCGCGTGCGGGCGTGGAGCTTGACGCGCGACGGGCCCTGATGCTGGGCGTCCGGGGCCTCGACGGCGACGTCCAGGTCGCGCACCCGCAGCTGGCACGTGGCGCTCCGGAGCCAGGCGCGGTGCGGAGACCAGGCAGGCCGCACCAAGCCTGCGTCGAGCATCACGTCGGCGGAGTCCGCGCCCTCCGGCGCGGAGACGTGCACGCCGTCCACGCGGAGGCCGAGGGCGCACGCGTGGTGCAGACTCGCGGCCAGCGCGGCGGGTCCGAGGAGCAGCAGGGTGGCCGCGGCGAGCGCGGTGCGGACGAGGCGGCGGCCTGCCACGGGCCGCGCCACTTCCGCGGCAGCTGGGGGCGCGACGCCCTCCTCCACCATCGTGGGCCCGGGGTCCTGGGCGGCCGCCTCGGACACCGGGCTCGTTCCTGCCATCGCTGGGGCGGGCGCGGCGCGTTTCGCGCGAGGGCGGCGAGGCGTCGTACAGCCTGCTCGCCTTCAACACCTACTACTAGGCGCGCCAAGGGGGAGACTCCTGGGCTCAAGCAGCTCCTTGAGCCAAGATGGTTACGGTGGGGCCATCTTGGCCGTCTTGGACGTCATTTTGGGCCAACTGGAGGAAACAGAGGCAAGACGGATACGTATTGAGATCCTTTCCGAATGGCCGGAGGGACGGGCCGAAGCCCCACGGGGAGTTTTTGTTGGAAAAAGAACCCAAACCAAAAGCCATATCATCTGGCACGCCAGGCACCCCTTTGCTAAAGCAAAAGGGAGCGGAAGGCGCTCAATTCCCCACCAAATCCTCCAAGACTGCTCAAGATGGCCTCCAAAATGGCCACGTCGGCTCAAGATGGCCTCCAAGATGGTCCAAGATGGCCTCCAAGTCCGCCCAAGATGGTCCAAGACGGCCCCCAAGACGGCCCAAGAGTCCAAGACGGCCCAAAACGGCCCCAGAGGCCCCCCAGAGGCCTCCAAGACGGCCCCAGAGGCCTCCAAGAGGTCCTCCAGGAGGGCCCGAAGAGGCCAAAATCATTGATTGTCCTGCGGTTTTTGAAGGATTTCGGAATGTGCTTCTTCTCGGCATTTCGACGGCTCAAGACGGCCCAAGATCGCCCAAGAGCGCCCAAGAGGCCCCCAAGAGGGTGGCCCACGCTCGTTCGCGCTCTTCGTGGCCCCATACGCATTCCCTTCGTGTCCCCGCTGTCGCCCTTCGTGGCCTACTTCGTGTCCTTCGTGGCTCTGCTGTCGTTCTCTCTCGCTCTCGCTTTCGCTCGTCGTCGTCGTCGCCGTCGTCGTCGTTGCCGTCGTCGTCGACGTCGTCGTCGTCGTCGTCGTCGTCGTGGTCGGTCCCCTGTCCGTCCCTCTTGGGGTCGGGTCGACGGTCCGCGGCCGCCCCGCCGATCAGCGCTGCCGCTGGCCAGGCCGACGGTCCGCGGCCGCCCCGCCGCTTGCCGGGGCCCGGCCTGCAGGGAAGAAAGGTATACCCCCCAAAAGGGGTTCGATCGAAGACGAAAAGGGCGGGTATCGAGGGTTTGGGAAATTCGCGTTATTCGACACTCGAGCAGATAAGGGCGAACAGTCTTAAAATGATTGTTGTTGTTGTTGTTGTTGTTGTTGTTGTTGTTGTTGTTGTTGTTGTTATATTGTTATTGTTGTTGCTGTTGTTGTTGGTTGTCCTCGTCCCACCCGCGACCCACCTAGCGACGCACCACGCGACCCACCCCGTGACCCACCCCGCGACCCACCCCGCGACCCAACCCGCGACCCAACCCGCGACCCACCCGCGACCCACCCCGCGACCCACCCGCAACCCCCCTGCGACCCACCCGCGACCCACCCGCGACCCACCCCGCGACCCATCCGCGACCAATCCGCGACCCACCTGCGACCCACCCCGCGACCCACCCGCGACCCACCCCGTGACCCACCCTGAAGGGAGGAGAAACCACCCGGACCCGACAATCAACGTTTACTAAACGGCCCTGGGCGTTTACCAAACAGCCGTGCTCTGTTCGATTCATTCCTTGTGTGCGTTTACTAAACGGCTTCGCTTGCCGGGGTAATTGTTTGGGGTGGAGTTGCTGCCCTCTCCTACACCCGCGACCCACCCGCGACCCAACAGCGACCCACCCGCGACCCACCTGCGACCCACCCGCGACCCATTTGCGACCCACCCGCGACCCGCGTCCTACCCATATTGGCTTAATTACCCCAGTGCGACCCTACCTAGAAGTTGGAGCCCCTAGGAACACAGCATTAGTTGCTATGCTATGCTATGCTATGATATGCCATGCCATGCCCTATTATGCTGCGCTATGCTATGCTATGCTATGCTATGCTATGCTATGCCATGTGATGCTGCGCTATGCTATATTATGCGATGCTATGCTACGCTCAGCTATGCCATGTCATGCTGCGCGGTGCTATGCTAAGCTATGCTATGCTATACTAAGCTGCGCTATGATATGCTTTGTTATGCTATGTGACGCTATGATATGCTGCGCTATGCTATGCTATGCTATGCTATGCTATGCTATGTTTGGTTATGTTATGTTATGTTAGGCTATGTTATGCTATGCTAATGCAGCGCTGCGCTATGCTAAGCTAAGTTAAGCTAACCCTCTAGGCAGATCCTAGGTAGGGAATTACACCCATACTAATTACCGGAACAGAAAACTAAACTGGTAACGCGGTTGGCACACACGAGCGCCACAAAATACACCCACAGATCCGGGGCAGGAGGACCAGGAGCTGGATAACGGTGAGGATGACGAGGAGGAGCAGGTGGCAGCGGCGGCAGTGGCGGCAGCGGCGGCGCTGGGGGAACCGCGGAGCGGATACTGGGGGAACCGGCCAGGGCGCTTTCCACTGCCCCGCCCTTTAAGCCCAGAGAGTAAGAACCCTTCTAGGCAGAGCCTAGGTAGGGAATCAACGGAAAAAACGGCACCTGCGGCGGGCTCGTTGTATAATTTGTGAAACTTTGGCGCCTGCGGCGGGCTTCTCCAGAGTCTAGCGAACTGCCGACGTTCGCACCGCCCCCTCACTCTCATCCGCATCTACGGGGTGCTACGTATCAGAGAGAGGGGGCCGAACGGTCATTCACTGTCCCTGGGTGCGTGGCTGGATTGCTGTTGTTGTTGATGTTGCTGTTGTGTTTGCTGTTGTTTGTGTTGGTGTTGAAATTGTTGTTGCTGTTGGCGCCGTTGGTGTTAATGTTGTTTGCTGTTGGTGATGATGATGTTGTTGTAGTTGTCGTTGATTGGCGTCGTCCCTTCGCGACCCGGCCCGCGACCCACCCGCGACCCAACCCGCGACCCACCCGCGATCCCACCCGCAACCTACCCGCGACCCACCCGCGACCCACCCCACGACCTGCCCGCGACCCACCCGCGACCCCCCCGAAAGGAATAGGAACACTGGACTTCACGCAAGTCGGGACTCACTTCCACACCTTTTTCGGCGGTCCAGCTCTGTTGAAAAATGGCGGCGGAGGAGGAAGAGGTGAGTGTGTGTGGGTGTGTATGTGTGTGTGGGGACATGCCATGCAAGCAAACTTGCTTGAATCTCACCCTGCGATCCAACGATGGCGAAATTCAACATCACGACCGGAACTCTCCAGTCGTCGGGACGACCGACATGGGTACGGAAAGAATGGGCACAATGCCCAATAGCAGTTCCTGTTCATTTTGAACTGGACTCGCTGTCCGCGCCGCCGCGGCCTGTGTCCATTTGAGACAGAAGGCCGCCTGCCCAACAGCGGCCGCTGTTGGCTTGGGACAACATGTGTTGTTGGGCAGTGTACCATTTTTTTCCGTACCCATCTCGGGCGTCCAAAGTGGAGCAGTCTCGGAGGGGGGCCCCACCTGGGGCGTTCCAAGGCGGCCCCTGCCGTCGCGAGCCGAGGGAGTCGTCATCTCCTCCTCGGCGGAAGGGCGAAGGAGTCGTCATCTCCTCCTCGCGAGCGGAAGGAGTCGTCATTTCCGTACGGTAGGTTCGTGCGGCGTCGGCGTGCGCAAAGGTTTTTGACACCGCGTCGATCGTTCAACCTTGTATCGATCGCGGCCCCGATCGTTCAAGGTTGAATTCTGTCGGGTCCAGTGACGTTACCGCGTCCCTCAGTGCTTCCACGTCGCAAGATTCAACCTTACACGCCGTCGCCGGCGTCGCCGGCGCGCCAACACCGCATGAACCTACCGTACCCATTTCGGGCGTTCAAAAGCCGGATCGATCGTGATGGCCCCGGGGCCGGATCGATCGACAGCGGGCGCAGGCGCCCGGTGTAAAAGACCATCGCGACGCCCGGATCCCAGGGCTCCCAGGGACCAGACCTCCGCGCGGATCTGGCTTCTGACCTTCCATCCGCGGACCCAGCTGAGGTCCCGGGGAGGAGGAGGAGGAGGAGGAGGAGGAGGAGGAGGAGGAGGAGGAGGAGGAGGAGGAGCAGCAGGTGGAGGAGGAGCAGGAGGAGGAGGAGGTGAAGTAGGAGGAGGAGGAGAGAGGTGGTGGAGGAGGCGGAGGAGGAGGAGGCGCAGGAGGTAAGAGGAGGCGGAGGAGGGGAGAGGAGGAGGAGGAGGTGGAGGAGGAGGAGGAAGCAGAGGGACGAGGGGGAGGGGGGGTGAGGAGTGCGTCCCGGCCTCATGTGAGGCCCCCGGGCCCGGCAACTGGCCCGGAGGCCGACATGAGGAAAAACCGGCGGATGGACCATCTTTCGGGGTCCTCCTCCTCCTCTCCTCCTCATCCTCCTCCCCTCCTCCTCCTCTCTCTTTCTCCTCTCTCTTCTCTCCTCCTCCTCCTCTTCCTCTCCCACTCCCTTCTTCTCCTCCTTCACTTCATCCTCCTCTCATCCTCCTCCTCCTCTCTCTCCTCCTTCCTCCTCCCACTCCTCCTCCTCCTCCTCTCTCCTCCTCCTCCTCCTCCTCCTCCTCCTCCTCCTCCTCCTCCCACGACATCGGACCCAGAGCTCCGATGTCGTGTTTTTGTTTCCTATACGGGGTCCCCAAAAGTCTCGACCGCTTCTCCAGGACTGGTTCTTCATCCTGAGTCGTTTCTTGACGGTCCTGGGACCCGCCGAGGGCCCCTAGAGGCCGAAAATTGAGGAAAACCTCCGTCCTGGTTTCTGCGATGCGTTGGACCTCTGGGCCTCTGGGGATCTCTGGGGACGCCCCCGACCACGGCGGCGGCCGCAGTGCCTCGACCATGGCGGAGCGCATGCCGTCGAGGCCGGGGACGAGGGCGGCGGCGGCCGCGCCGCCGACCGCCGCCAGGTCGGCGCAGACGACTGGGCGGCGGCCGGCACGGGGAAGCACGAAGGAGGGGGAGGAGGAGGAGGAGGGGGAGGAGGAGGAGGAGGGAGGAGGAGGGAGGAAGAGATGGTGAAGGAGGAGGAGGAGGAGGAAGGAGGAGGAGGAGGAGGAGGGGAGGAGGAGGAGGAGGAGGAGGAGGAGGGAGGAGGGAGGAGGGGAGGAGGGAGGAGGGAGGAGGGAGGAGGAGGAGGAGGAGGAGGAGGAGGAGGAGGAGGAGAGGAGGAGGAGGAGGAGGGGAGGAGGAGGAGGAGGAGGAGGAGGAGGAGGAGGAGGAGGAGGAGGAGGAGGAGGAGGAGGAGGAGGAGGAGGAGGAGGAGGAGAGGAGGAGGAAGGGGGGGGGGAAGGGGGGAGGAGGAGGAGGAGGAGGAGGAGGAGGAGGAGGGAGGAGGAGGAGGAGGAGGAGGAGGCGGAGGAGGAGGAGGAGGAGGAGGAGGAGGAGGAGGAGGAGGAGGAGGAGAGGAGGGAGGAGGAGGCGGAGGTGGGGGGGGGGGAGGAAGGGGGGAGGAGGAGGAGGAGGAGGAGGAGAGGAGGAGGGAGGGAGGAGAGGAGGATGAGGAGGAGGAGGAGTGAGGAGGAGGGAGGAGGAGGAGGAGGGGGAGGAGCGGAGGCGGAGTTAGTAGGAGGAAGAGGAGGAGGAGGAGGAGAAGGAGGAGGCGGGGGAGGAAGAGGAGGAGGAGGAGGAGAGGAGGAGGGGGAGGAGGAGGAGGCGGCGGAGTAGGAGGAAGTGGAGGAGGAGGAGGGGAGGAGAGGAGGAGGAGAAGGAGGAGGATGGGGAGGAGGAAGAGAAGAGGAGCGGCGGCGTAGGAGGAGGAGGAGGAGGAGGAGGAGGAGGAGAGGAGGAGGAGGAGGAGGAAGAGGAAGAGAGGAGAGGGAGGAGGAGGTTTTCAGGTAGTATTATTGGCCCGCTTCCCCATTCAACATGCGGCCAGGCGGGCGTATGCTCTTTCCCATCCGGGCCCCTCCAGTTGTTTGGTCAATTCTAGTCGCACTACTGTTTTGGCTGCGCCCGCCAGGCTTCGTTAGTTCGCTATCGGCCCAAGTCGGCATTCGAGACGGCTTTCTTCTCTTAGCCCGTGACGCGCCAAGCAGCCGCCCGAAGTTTGCGCAACGTCAGAAAGAAGGATGAGGAGGAGGAGGAGGAGGAGGAGGAGGAGGAGGAGGAGGAGGAGGAGGAGGAGGAGGAGACGGAGGAGGCGGGGGAGAGGGAGGAGGAGGAGGAGGAGGAAGAGGAGGAGGAGGAGGAGGAAGAAGGAGTTTCCGGGCAGTAGTATTGGCCCGCTTCCCCACTCAACATGCGGCCAGGCGGGCGCACGCTCTTTGCAATTCGGGCCCCTCCAATTTGTTGTTTCAGTTCTAGTCGCAATACTGTCTTGGCTGCGCCCGCCAGGCTTAATTTGTTCGCTATCGGCCCAAGTCGTCGTTCGATACGGCTTCATTCCCTTTTGCCGTAGCGCTCCAGGCTGCCTCCCGAAGTTTGCGCAACGTCAAAAAGGAGAAGGATGAGGAGGAGGAGAAGGAGAAGGAGGGGGAGGAGGAGGAGGAGGAGAAAGAGGAGGAGGAGGAGGAGGCGGGGGAGGAGGATCGGCCCACCGAGGGGGCGCGGTCGTGGCCAAAGACACGCCGCGGCCCTTGTGACCGAACCTTACTTCGGGCGTGCTCGCTTGGGAGGTCATCACCGGAGATGGTTCCGCTGGGCCGGAGGGGGAGCGGAAACCGGAACCGGAAACCGGAAACCGGAAAACGGAAACCGGAAAACGGAAAACAGCGAAGAAGGAAGCGGAGGCCGACGGCAGACGACAAGAATCGGAAAACGGAAAAAGGAAAACGGAAAACGGAGAAGAAAGACGCGGGGGGTGACGGGAGAGCACCGGAACCGGAAAACGGAAAACGGAAAGCGGAAACCGTAACCAGAAAACGGAAACGGGAAACCGAAAAGGGGAAAACGGAAAACAGCGAAGAGGGAAGCGGAGGCCGACGGGAGACCACCGGAATCGGAAAACGGAAAACGGAAAAAGGAAAACGGCGCAGAAAGACGCGAGGGACCACGGGAAAGCACCGGAACGGGAAAACGGGAAACGGAAAACGGAGACCGGAACCGGAAACCGGAAAACGGAAAGCAGAAGCGAAAAACAGCGAAGAGGGAGCCGGGAGCCGACGGCAGACCACCGGAATCGGAAAACGGAAAACGGAAAACGGAAAATGGCGTAGAAGGACGCGGGTGCCCACGGGAGAGCACCGAACCGGAAACGGAAAACGGAAACCGGAAACCGGAACCGGAAAACGGAAACCGGAAAACGCAAAGCGGAAAATGGAAAACGGAAAACGGAAACCGGAAACCGTAAAACGGAAACCGGAAAAAAACGGAAAACGGAAAACGGAAAGCGGAAACCGGAAAACGGAAACCGGAAAACGAAAATCGGAGGAGGAGGAGGAGGAGGAAAAGGAGGAGGAGGAGGAGAAAGAGGAAGAGGAGGAGGAGCCTCCCTTCCTCCTCTCTCCCTCTTGCCCCCCCCCCGCCCCTCCTCCCTCCCCGTTCCCTTTGCCAGGCTTCCTCCCTCCCTCCCTCCTGCCTCCCCCCTCGTTGATCCTGCCCTCACCTCCCTGTCTCCCTCCTCGTTCCCTCCTCCTCCTCCTCGTCCCTCTTCCCGAGCGGAGCCGGCGCGCGGGCTGGCCAGACCGAAGGACAACGACGATCTGATTTCAAGAAGCCCCCAAAACGTTCCAAGACTGCTCCAAGAGGCTTCCGAGACCTCCAAAGAGGCCCCCAAGAAGCCAAACTCCTTCAAACACCAAAAGAAAATGCATGATTTTTGCTTTCTCGCCTTTTCGCTTTTGATGGCCATCCGAAGCCTCAAGGTGCATCCAAAATGGCCCAGGAGAGCCCCAGGAGAGGCCCAAGAGAGCCCCAGGACGGCCCCAAGAGCGCCCCAAGAGCGATCCAAGAGAGGTCCAGGAGGCGATTGTCGGTGCTCCCAAGGGGGGAGGCAAATTGAAGCTCACCTTTTTGTGATCGATGTCCTCCAAGATGGCCCCAACAGCGCCCCTAAAGCTCCCAAGAGCGGCCCAGGAGGGCCCCAAGAGGCGCTCAGGCAGCCCGAAGATGCCTCCAAGAGGCTCCCGAGAGACCCTATACGAGGCCCCAAGAGGATCTCCGAGGTACCCAACTCTCCCTCCTTCTCCTCCTTCTCGTCCTCCTCGTCCTCGCCCTACTCCGCCTCCTCCTCCTCCTCCTCCTCCTCCTCCTCCTCGACGACGACGATTCCTCCTCCATCCTCCCCCTCCTGCGGTATATGACGGCGTCCCCCGCCCTTTGTCCTTCTGCATGCTCCCCCACTTCTCGTATCATCTCAACTCTCCTGGGCATCGTTTCTGGATGGGCTGGTGGGGATATGTGAAGCGTCAACAATAGCAGCGCGTTCATCGATTACCGATGACAAATCCCACCAGTCCTCTGGGCGGAGGTGGTCTACGGCGTTTCCTCTGGTAGCTTTCCAGAAACCCCTCTCCCTACCCTCTCCCCTGGACCTCGCCGCACCCCCTGCAATATTCTGCAAAAGAGGGGTGCAAAGATTCCGTGCTGACCCTGCAACACCCTGCAATACCTTGGAAAACGACCCTGCAAACCAAACCCCTGCAGTACCATGCAATACCCTGCAAACCACCCTGAAATACCCTGCAAAACGACCGCGCGCCCTCTGGGTGGAGGAGGTCAGAAGCGGTTCCTCCGCACGCTTTCTAATCCCCGAGCCCGTTGGGCGTGAGTGGTCTAGCAAATTGCCTCTTCCAACTCCCCTGCTTCGCCTTCGGGGAGGGGCCTATGATTTTTCTCATTCGAATGATACGAGAGAAAAGACCCAATCAGGGCTATAGGGCTAGGAGGCTATAGGGCTATTGAGCTATAGGTCTATAGAGCTATAGGGCTATAGAATTGTAGGGCTGTTGGGCTATTGGGCTATAGTGCTTAGGGCTATAGGGCTATAGGGCACCCCCGGGCACGCCCGGGCACCCGGGCCCCCTGGCCCCCCCGGGCACCCCCAGGCACCCGGGCGTGCAGCGAAAATCGGCGACAAACCTAACCTAACCATATGAATCCGCTATGACCCCTACAGAAGCAAGCTCTGATTGAGGAATAAACACCCCCTCCCTGGCCCGACTGGCAGCCAATCTGGATCCATAACGACACCCATGGCAACACCCCCCACAACATCCCTGTCAAAAGCCATACAACATAAACTTTGCCTCTGGAGCCTGGAGCATGCGCGGGCATCCCACGACCACTTAGCATGGGGTCTTGACAAGGACGGCGGCGGTGCCGGCACATTGTTCGCCGCGCGCACACCCGCACACAACAAACCCGCCGTCACTGTGTATGGTTTTTGACAGGGACGGTGGGAGGGTCGACATATTACCCAATGTGGCGCACCTGGTCCGCGTGGCGCAGCTGACATGTGCGGCCCATCTCGCGGGTTTCGCGCACCTGGCTGGCGTTTGCATTGGTTCCCGATAGCTGTCGATGGTGGCCCCTGTCCATGCTGAAACTCGGGTGCTTCCTATGTGTTGGGAGGGCGGGTGGGAACAAGCGAGACGGCTTGTTGCTTGCGGGTAACTGAATCACTGTTCCCTATGAATAAACACCCCCTCCCCAGGCGACTGGGGGCCAACCCGAGTCCATGCCGACACCCCCCCCACCATCCCTGGTAAAAAAAAAAACAATACAAAACACACTCTGCCTCCAAATTCGGAACATGCGCAGCCAACCCGATGCGGCCCCCCCCACCATCCCTGTCAAAAAACGATACAGAGTACACTTGGCGGCGGCGGCGGCGCGCGGCGGCTGCGGCGGCGGCGGCGGCGGCTGCGGCGGCTGCGGCGGCGGCGGCGGCGGCAGCGGCGGCGGCGGCGGCGGCGGCTGCGGCGGCGGCGGCGGCGTTTGGCGGGCAGCGGCAGCGGCTGCGGCGGGGCCGGCAGCGGCGGC